TACTGATTTTGGATTATTTCTGTTGGATGAATTCCCACAAGAGCCATTAATAGATCAGAAGTTCAGAACATTCTTCTGACCCCCAAAACATACAGCGACTGCTATTTTGGGAAGAGCAGGCTCTGCCTCTGCGCTGGGGAGCCCAAGCCAATTCCCTCAGTTCTGGGCCCCCGGTGGCCCCTCTCCCACCCACCCCTGCACCCTGTGGGCCCCACCGGACAAAGGCACCTGGATCCCACCCTTCCTTCTCCAAGAACATGTATGAGGCCCTGGGGACTCTGAGAATGGCTCTCAGGGATCCTGAATGGGTGGTGAGCATTTTTTTGGGAGACGCATAGCAAACATACACGTCCTCACGAGGGGCCAGCACCCAGGAAAGGGCTCCGAGTCTCTGAAGTGTCCGGACAAACAAGGGCAGCCCCAGTTGACATACCAGCGGAGCAGGTGTAAGTGAGGAGGGGGGACGGGCAGGGCTGGGCCTCTCTGGAGAGGTGGCATGGAAGGCAGGGGATGGGAGGGTGGGTGAGGAAGGAATGGGTAGGGAGGTGTGCAGAGAAAAGCGAAAGGTTCAGCTTGTTTACTCCACAGAGAACACAGAAGAGAGTGGGGAAGATGGGGCCAGAAAGGGAGGTGAGTGCCACAGGGACGTGGGCCTCTGTGTCCTGGAGAAGGTGGGTGGGGAGCCACTGAGGGTGCTTGACACAGATGTCACCCAGCCTAGAGGAACTTCAGACACAGCATGGAAGGTGGATTGGAGGGGAGGAGGCGCAGAGCCTGGCTGTTGCATGAACTCTGGAGGGTGGCCCCTCCCTCGATGCCCACTCAGCCACTTTCCTCCCTTTGACCTCTGCCTACTGGAATGTTCTTTCCTATCAAGTCCCTTGGCAGCTGCCTAATTCGTTTTCTCATCTGTCACATTCTGTTTATCCTTTCTTCTGTGTATGCCTACTTCTTATTTAAAACCTGTTTATCAGAATGACTTAAGGTGGACTATGCCTGCCTAACCTTTAGAGGTTGACTATAAGGTTTCCATAAACCGCATGAGTAAACAGGCAGCCTTTTTTACAACCACAGCTTCTTTCTTATTAAAGATGGATATGAATAGTTTTCTGCTCTCAGAACTCATGTTCTTGAAAACAGTCACAGAAATATATGATGCAAAAAGTGAGACTTCCCCGCATCCCACATCAGAGATAAGCCCACGGCCCCCTCCCGATGGGAGGCTGCGGGTCCTGGGCTGTGGGCATCGGGGCTGTGCAGCTCTGCGGCTGCCCTGGTCCTGCCCGAGCTGCCGGGCTTGGAGCTGTGGGCCTGGCTAGGAGGAGGCCTTGTGGGCCGCCTGCTCCCCTGAGGAGGCCTGGCTGTGTTCCCAGCGAAATGGGAGCTCTGTGGTCAGGGCATGGAGCACCTCACAGGACCGGACTGGATTCTGACGGCCCCAGGATTCCACAGGGGCCCAAGAGGCTTTTCTGGAGGGGTGGCATTCTGAGGAAGAGGCTGAGTGGCCAGAGGTGCCTGACTGCAGGGGCTCCAGCTGCTGGGCCACAGCAGGCCCGTGGGGACCGGCACGGCGGTGTGACTTTCCTGACCCTCGGTGTCCGGCAGCCCCTCCCTGCTCTCCCTGGAGTGGCCCCTTCCCCAGCCTGGCAGTCGTCCTCACGCTCCTCACGCATCTGCTCTTCCTCACCTTAGCGCGGCCTGCAGGCACATGGGGTTGGTGTGGCGGGCGAGAGAGACAAGGGCTGACACCCGTCTGGAAAGCAGGGTCCTTCTCTGTACCCCTTCATCACCCTGCCTGGACTAGACGGAGCCCGTGAGGCCTGGCTAGTGACCAAAGGGGTTTCTGCTCACCTGGGACATCCTTCTGGAACTTCTCTTCTATGAACCTGTGGCCAACTCTGAAGCCCAGGGGAAGTTTAGGCCTTGTCTTTCTGAGACACCTGCTGTCTTGATGCTCTCAGTAACACTTCACACTGTGACACAGGAATAGCTAAAACGTCTTGAGTGCTTGCTGTGTGCAGGCACCGTTCCGAGAGCTTCACAGTAATGGGTCACTTAGTCCTCCCATTTGGCTGACAGAGGACGGGGAAACCAAGGCACAGGGTAGTGACTGCTGAGGTCGCTGATGAGAGGGTGGCGGGGCAGGGATCCAAGCCAGGCCCACCCTCCTGCCTCTGCCAGCCTGGTGTAGACCAGGGACATGCCCTTGGGTGTGGGACCCCCAGGATTCCTTCCCCAGCACTCGATGCTCCTCCCAACATCCCCTCTCCCCTCAGGACCCTGGCAGCTCTCTCTGCAGGTAAGCCTCCGGAGTGGGCAGGCCCCCAGCTCTGGCTTTCCTTAAAAATCCTCCTGGATGCTGGTCATCTCTGCGGGTGAAGAGCTTTCTGCGGGGAGCCTGGATTTATGAGGCAGAGGGGCGGGGGGCACCGGCACTGGGGGCTCTGAGTCTCTTGTGCTTGCCCTGCCCCGAGGGGCCAGTTGCTACTTCCTGGGCTCGGGCAGAGCTGGCCCGGGGCGCACTGGGGTTATTTTGGCTTCTCATTCCTGAGTTGTATGGATGCCATTTTGTGAGGTTTTTTGTGCTTTTTGTGTTTTTTTATTGGCATAGCCAACATACTAGTTTCAGGTGTACAACATGATGATTTTTAACAGCAGAAGAGATGTTGCTGTGGAAATGGAAGAATAATGGGCCTGACCAGTGTGAGTGCTTCAGGCTAGAGGCAGGCACGCTGGGCAGAGGGGCACTTGCCGCCTTTTAACAGTGCCCCTTGCTGCAAGGAGGAGGATTGATCTTCCCTGTGGAAACAGAGATGGGAGATGGGGGGCTCCCTCAGGGCAGTGGGCGAGCAGGTGGGGGCTCTGGTCTGTGGACCATCCTGGGAGGAGGAGGAGCTGCGTCTACAGCACAGCTGTCTCGTCCCAGGGGAGGTGAGGCCCCAGCCCTCCGGCTTGTGGGGGGCCTCTTGGGTGCCCCACCCAGAGGGAGGAGAACCTCCACACCTCAGTTCTCCGGGCCCAGGGCAGGTGTGTGTGGAACACAGGGTAAGCTGGGTTCGCTGGCCTCAGGGCCCACTGACTACATCAGAGGGCAGGAGCGGGCAAGGCCCACCTGCCCAGGCCCTTAGCGGGAGGCCAGGTCCCCGCTCCTGTACTGGGCTGGCAGCACTACAGCCTTGGTTGCTCTGTGGTACCATGACCCCCCGTCAGACCCAAGCAGCAGCCCTTGGTTTTCTGGCCGCCGCGGCCCAGGCAACTCCTGTGACAGGCGCTCGGACAGCAGTCCGGGTCCTCCTGCGCCCTCTGGCCACAGGTCCTACAGGCCAGAGCTGCTCTGTCACGGAGGTCAGAGGCTTGCCCTCCGGCCACATCTCCTGTACCCGGCTGCACCCTCCATTGCTCCCACTCGCCCCCCAGGGCTCCACTTAGTCACCACCTTCCCGTTGGCCACGGCTCTCCTGCCCCTTGCCAACAGCTTCCGGCCTGCACACCTGCGCTTGAGCTTCTCCCTCAGGCTCTTCCCCATCCACACCGTGGTGACCCTTCTCCCCTTCTGGGGGTGCAGGGCATCACTCCCTTCCTGACCCGGTGCCCACCTCCGTGTCCCCCTCTCCAGCACCTTGTCCTGTGCGCTGTCTCCCCAGTCCTGTTTCCGGGCTGTTCAGTCTGGCCTGTGGCTCCAGGTCAGCCTGCCAGCCTCTGTGGCTTCTGCCCGTGAGCGTCCCTGCACAAACCAAGCCTGCCCCTCCCTCACGTGGTGCTCTCCTCTGTTCCTTGCATCAGAGATGGGCCCCTCCCCCGGGGCCCAAGCCACAGGCCCCTGCAGCAGTCACCAAGTCTGGGGGTGGTGTCAGGCCACCCTGCCAGCCCGCCACTCTCTTTCTGGCCACGGCTCTGCCTGGATTATGCAGGCACCTGGGGGCGTGAGGCTTCTGTCTCTGCCCCTCGCCCTGTCATGTCCCACCCCTCCGCCTGGCCCCTCAGTCTCCCGCAGCCTTCCGGAAGGAGTTCGGGTTCCTTGCCTGGCACTCTGGGTCCTTCATGACCCAAACCAGGGGTTGGCAGGCATTTTCTGAAAATGTACGGTTTTTCGGCTTTGCAGGCCATATGGTCCCTGTCACAGCTACTCTGCGGTTGGAGCAAGAGAACAGCTGCAGACAATACATAAACAAGTGAGCATGGCTGGGAACCAGTGAGACTTTATTCGTGAAAACAGGCAGCAGGCAGGTTTGGCCCCCTGGGGGGGCAGTTTGCTGACCATCGATCTGAACCACGCCTGGCTCTCCAGCTGCATCATTCACTGTTTCTACCTCCACTGACGGCAGGGCCCGACCCGCTGTGCCTGTCCCTGAGACTTCGTGTCCGCGGCACCCTGATGAGCGGTGCTCAGCATCGTAGTCTCAGGCCTCACTTCTGGGAAGGCCCCCTCAATGCCTCTCACATCCCCCCGCCAATTCTGACAGCTATCCCCTCTCTCTCATAGGCCCCTGCTCTCCCTTTACACGAACCGGCGCGTCACACTGCACTGTGGGTGCACTTACTGCCTTCCCCGTGAGACCCTCAGCCCTCTGAGGGGAGAGGCTCGCCTGTCACCCACCATCCTTCCTGGCATGGAGTAGGTCATCAGGCACACTGAATTGGCATTTCCCGAGTGATTGCTCTGGGCGAGGTGCGGTGGGTGAGGGAAAGGTTCTGCCCTTGAGGGCACACATAAGGACCGTCACCCTTCCTGCGGCATTGAGGACACCACCAAGGCACGGAGCCAGGCTTGGCTTTCTGGCTCCTGTCAGTGTGGAAGGTGCTCCGGTCACAGCCCTGAACCCGCTCAGTGCGAAGAGCTGTCCTGGGCCTCTGGTGCTCCCCAGTGCGGGGTCTACGCTGTAAGGCCTCTGTGGAAGGCCACCCGTTCCCAGCTGGCATCTGGCACCAGGACCAGGGTGTTCTTCCCAGAAGTACCCGCCTGCCCCGCCTTCCCCACTGACCCTGTCCTCCTCCTCCAGGAGAACCTTATGCTTTCCATCCTGCCCAAGCACGTGGCCGACGAGATGTTGAAGGATATGAAGAAAGATGAGAGCCAGAAGGACCAGCAGCAGTTCAACACCATGTACATGTACCGCCATGAGAACGTCAGGTGTGCGGGCTCCCAGAGCAGGGTGGGCGGGGCTTCGTGGCGGCTGTCGAGCACCGGGGGGTTCAAAACTCTCCCTGCAGATGGGAAGCGAGACCACCCATGGTGTGGGCCTCAGCCCTGCAGGAGCAGCCTCCTGACATGGCGAGCTGAGAAGTGCTCTAGGCTGTGTGGCCCCATCATGTACAGACGTCACGCAGAGCAGGGAACTGGCATCTGGGAGGTCACGCAGGCACTCAGGGACAGCTGACAGCCATGCTCCTTCCAGAAAGGATGTGTTTGTCCTATGGACAGGAGTGGGCAGCATGGGGCAGGGGTCGCCATACAGGTCCCCAAGGGTAGGCCCTGAACTTGCCAGAGCATCAGGGTCTCGCTGCTTGGGGCTTGAGCAGGGCCCTCCTCCGGCCACCGTCCCGTGGGTTGGAGCAGGGGCTGGGGTGGGGCCACGTGTGCCACCTGGAGCTCATGGCCGTGGCCTTCCCTCCTCCCCAGCATCCTCTTTGCAGACATCGTGGGCTTCACCCAGCTGTCTTCTGCCTGTAGTGCCCAGGAGCTCGTGAAGCTGCTCAACGAGCTCTTCGCCCGCTTCGACAAGCTGGCGGCCGTGAGTGCCCCGACCCTCGCTCGGCTTTTCTGTTTCCTCGCACCTGTGCTTCCTCTGCCTTCTTTGCCACTACCTGCCGAGGGGGTCTCGGGACCATCGCCCTGCCCTGTCGTTTCAGAAATACCACCAACTGCGGATTAAGATCCTGGGTGACTGCTACTACTGCATCTGTGGCCTGCCCGACTACCGGGAGGACCACGCGGTCTGCTCCATCCTCATGGGGCTCGCCATGGTGGAGGCCATCTCGTAAGCGGGGTCGTCTGTTGGGGAGGGGCTCCCAGAGCACAGGTCCCAGCCTGGACCTTCCGCAACAGCCTGGCACGCAAGCCCCCGGGACATAACACGCATGTTGTGTGGGGTGGTAGGTCCCTTGGCCCCCGACCCTGGACAGTGGGAACACAGCGTACCCTCCTCGCAGCTGAGGTGCCTGTAGGCCTTCTGCAGCCCCTGAGGGCCCCCCTTCCAGCGTTGGTCCACGCGGGCTCTTTCTGCCGGCAGCGGCAGCCAGCATGCAGTTCAACGTGCCACCCCTCATTTGCGTGGGTCCCACCAGGTGCCCCTCATTTCTTCTCTCAGTGTCTTCTCATCATGACCCCCAAGGCAGGTAGGGTCAGGGGTCGCCGCATCCATCTCTCAATCAAAAAGTCAGAGTTCAGCAGTGATGTGACTCTGCTGAGGTCCTGGGCCGGGAGGGTGGTGAACTCCGCCTCCGCTCACGCTTCCCTGCACTCTCAGACTCCAGGTGGGCTGGGAGACCCTCCCATCGGGGGAGGCCTGTGGCGGGCCCTGGTGGTCAGGCTCGCAGTGGGCACGGAGACTCCTGGCTGACGCTTTCCCCCCAGCAGGATGGAGTCCAGGAAATGGGGCACGCGCTTCGCCGCCACCTGAGGGGGTGGATCTGTATTGTTGCCATCTTCCAGACTAAAGTGCCCCCCCAATACTCACCTTCCAACAGATGCTGCCATCCCCAGGCAGTAGTTCAGGAGTAGAGACCTTCACCCCATACCCTTCCACCATGAAGTGGTTCTGCATTTTGTGTCTTCCTGGAGTCCTGGATGAGCTGTTCCCATCCCTGCACACGTGGCATCTCACACTGTGCCTGGCACAAGCCCAGCTCAGTGAATATCCACGTGAATGGATGAACGGCCGGCTGCAGGGAGCGCTGGGGGTCCCACAGGCACAGGGTCGCTCCACTGTTCCGCCCACCACCACCTCCACCACTCAGGCCTGTGACTGTGGTTTCCTGGTCTGCTATGACCGCAGCTGCGGGTTTTCAGCTCCAACGCAGGCAGAAAGCTCTTGCTGCGACCATGCCCCCAGCCCTTCCTCTGTCCTGTGTGTACCTGGCAGGTATGTGCGGGAGAAGACGAAGACCGGGGTAGACATGCGCGTGGGGGTGCACACGGGCACTGTGCTGGGAGGCGTCTTGGGCCAGAAGCGCTGGCAGTATGACGTGTGGTCTACCGACGTCACTGTGGCCAACAAAATGGAAGCCGGCGGCATCCCTGGGTGAGCGAGCCTACCTTCCAGCGGGTGGTGTGGGCCCAGGGGCATACAAGCCACCCCAGGCCCTTAGAGAAGGGCCCTTCCTCCTGGGGGCGGGGGCGGGTCCCTCCGGGTCCTTCCCTGGGGCGCCTTCCGCCCTGGCCTGAGGCTTCTGCAGGAGTCTGTCCTCTCCACCCCTTTACCCACTTGTGTGGCTCAGACTCGGATGTCATCATGGGTGTAATGTCTCAGGCCTCACTTCTGGGAAGGCCCCCTCAATGCCTCTCACATCCCCCCGCCAATTCTGACAGCTATCCCCTCTCTCTCATAGGCCCCTGCTCTCCCTTTACATGAACCGGCGCGTCACACTGCACTGTGGGTGCACTTACTGCCTTCCCCGTGAGACCCTCAGCCCTCTGAGGGGAGAGGCTCGCCTGTCACCCACCATCCTTCCTGGCATGGAGTAGGTCATCAGGCACACTGAATTGGCATTTCCCGAGTGATTGCTCTGGGCGAGGTGCGGTGGGTGAGGGAAAGGTTCTGCCCTTGAGGGCACACATAAGGACCGTCACCCTTCCTGCGGCATTGAGGACACCACCAAGGCACGGAGCCAGGCTTGGCTTTCTGGCTCCTGTCAGTGTGGAAGGTGCTCCGGTCACAGCCCTGAACCTGCTCAGTGCGAAGAGCTGTCCTGGGCCTCTGGTGCTCCCCAGTGCGGGGTCTACGCTGTAAGGCCTCTGTGGAAGGCCACCCGTTCCCAGCTGGCATCTGGCACCAGGACCAGGGTGTTCTTCCCAGAAGTACCCGCCTGCCCCGCCTTCCCCACTGACCCTGTCCTCCTCCTCCAGGAGAACCTTATGCTTTCCATCCTGCCCAAGCACGTGGCCGACGAGATGTTGAAGGATATGAAGAAAGATGAGAGCCAGAAGGACCAGCAGCAGTTCAACACCATGTACATGTACCGCCATGAGAACGTCAGGTGTGCGGGCTCCCAGAGCAGGGTGGGCGGGGCTTCGTGGCGGCTGCCGAGCACCGGGGGGTTCAAAACTCTCCCTGCGGATGGGAAGCAAGACCACCCATGGTGTGGGCCTCAGCCCTGCAGGAGCAGCCTCCTGACATGGCGAGCTGAGAAGTGCTCTAGGCTGTGTGGCCCCATCATGTACAGACGTCACGCAGAGCAGGGAACTGGCATCTGGGAGGTCACGCAGGCACTCAGGGACAGCTGACAGCCATGCTCCTTCCAGAAAGGATGTGTTTGTCCTATGGACAGGAGTGGGCAGCATGGGGCAGGGGTCGCCATACAGGTCCCCAAGGGTAGGCCCTGAACTTGCCAGAGCATCAGGGTCTCGCTGCTTGGGGCTTGAGCAGGGCCCTCCTCCGGCCACCGTCCCGTGGGTTGGAGCAGGGGCTGGGGTGGGGCCACGTGTGCCACCTGGAGCTCATGGCCGTGGCCTTCCCTCCTCCCCAGCATCCTCTTTGCAGACATCGTGGGCTTCACCCAGCTGTCTTCTGCCTGTAGTGCCCAGGAGCTCGTGAAGCTGCTCAACGAGCTCTTCGCCCGCTTCGACAAGCTGGCGGCCGTGAGTGCCCCGACCCTCGCTCGGCTTTTCTGTTTCCTCGCACCTGTGCTTCCTCTGCCTTCTTTGCCACTACCTGCCGAGGGGGTCTCGGGACCATCGCCCTGCCCTGTCGTTTCAGAAATACCACCAACTGCGGATTAAGATCCTGGGTGACTGCTACTACTGCATCTGTGGCCTGCCCGACTACCGGGAGGACCACGCGGTCTGCTCCATCCTCATGGGGCTCGCCATGGTGGAGGCCATCTCGTAAGCGGGGTCGTCTGTTGGGGAGGGGCTCCCAGAGCACAGGTCCCAGCCTGGACCTTCCGCAACAGCCTGGCACGCAAGCCCCCGGGACATAACACGCATGTTGTGTGGGGTGGTAGGTCCCTTGGCCCCCGACCCTGGACAGTGGGAACACAGCGTACCCTCCTCGCAGCTGAGGTGCCTGTAGGCCTTCTGCAGCCCCTGAGGGCCCCCCTTCCAGCGTTGGTCCACGCGGGCTCTTTCTGCCGGCAGCGGCAGCCAGCATGCAGTTCAACGCGCCACCCCTCATTTGCGTGGGTCCCACCAGGTGCCCCTCATTTCTTCTCTCAGTGTCTTCTCATCATGACCCCCAAGGCAGGTAGGGTCAGGGGTCGCCGCATCCATCTCTCAATCAAAAAGTCAGAGTTCAGCAGTGATGTGACTCTGCTGAGGTCCTGGGCCGGGAGGGTGGTGAACTCCGCCTCCGCTCACGCTTCCCTGCACTCTCAGGCTCCAGGTGGGCTGGGAGACCCTCCCATCGGGGGAGGCCTGTGGCGGGCCCTGGTGGTCAGGCTCGCAGTGGGCACGGAGACTCCTGGCTGACGCTTTCCCCCCAGCAGGATGGAGTCCAGGAAATGGGGCACGCGCTTCGCCGCCACCTGAGGGGGTGGATCTGTATTGTTGCCATCTTCCAGACTAAAGTGCCCCCCCAATACTCACCTTCCAACAGATGCTGCCATCCCCAGGCAGTAGTTCAGGAGTAGAGACCTTCACCCCATACCCTTCCACCATGAAGTGGTTCTGCATTTTGTGTCTTCCTGGAGTCCTGGATGAGCTGTTCCCATCCCTGCACACGTGGCATCTCACACTGTGCCTGGCACAAGCCCAGCTCAGTGAATATCCACGTGAATGGATGAACGGCCGGCTGCAGGGAGCGCTGGGGGTCCCACAGGCACAGGGTCGCTCCACTGTTCCGCCCACCACCACCTCCACCACTCAGGCCTGTGACTGTGGTTTCCTGGTCTGCTATGACCGCAGCTGCGGGTTTTCAGCTCCAACGCAGGCAGAAAGCTCTTGCTGCGACCATGCCCCCAGCCCTTCCTCTGTCCTGTGTGTACCTGGCAGGTATGTGCGGGAGAAGACGAAGACCGGGGTAGACATGCGCGTGGGGGTGCACACGGGCACTGTGCTGGGAGGCGTCTTGGGCCAGAAGCGCTGGCAGTATGACGTGTGGTCTACCGACGTCACTGTGGCCAACAAAATGGAAGCCGGCGGCATCCCTGGGTGAGCGAGCCTACCTTCCAGCGGGTGGTGTGGGCCCAGGGGCATACAAGCCACCCCAGGCCCTTAGAGAAGGGCCCTTCCTCCTGGGGGCGGGGGCGGGTCCCTCCGGGTCCTTCCCTGGGGCGCCTTCCGCCCTGGCCTGAGGCTTCTGCAGGAGTCTGTCCTCTCCACCCCTTTACCCACTTGTGTGGCTCAGACTCGGATGTCATCATGGGTGTAACCACTTGAGCATGCCAGGGGTCCCCAAAGACGTCATTAGTCGCGGTGACCAGAGGAGCAGGCTGGGGAGGTTACAGGGCAGCTGAACATCTGACCTGAGCTCCTTTACAGACTCTGCGGGCAGGCCCGCCCTCCAGGGAACGCACGCAGGGAGCGCTTCCTTGTGTGGGTCAGGCAGCTTCCCCCAAACGCAGTCACGATTCTCTCCCTCAGTGGTGACTCCCCAGTGGGTATACTGCCCCGTGGGAGCAGGTGCTGCCACTGAGAATCAGGCATGGCAGGTAATCATTGGACTTTAGAGTATTAAATTTCAGAGAGTTTAAAGTTTAGGTTCAGAGAGGGCTTCCATTCCTTATTGCATTAGATGCCCTCAGCAGCCTGTGAGGACAAAACTTTGTTCCTGTATTAGGAATTTGACCTGAGCCTCAGTCACTGCCACTGGCACCTCCATTTGGCCTCTACCACGTGCCTGGGAGGTCCCATTGTCCTAGACTGCCTCAGGGGCTGGGGCCGGGGGTGCTGTACAGCCTGTGCTCAGGGCCCCTCTTGCTGCCGTCCAGGCGTGTGCACATCTCCCAGAGCACCATGGACTGTCTGAAGGGGGAGTTTGACGTGGAGCCTGGCGATGGGGGCAGCCGTTGCGATTACCTAGATGAGAAGGGCATTGAAACCTACCTCATCATTGCATCCAAGCCAGAGGTGAAGAAAACAGCCACCCAAAATGGACTCAATGGCTTGGTGAGTCCCTGGCTGCCCCTGGACTAGATGGGCAGAAAGGAGGGGATTGGAGGAGAGGCTGTAGAAGACTCGGCAGGACTTGGGGAAGGCTGAGTATGAGATTTGAGGCACAGGTGGTACAATGGCTGAGCTCCATCGCAAAGGAGACAGTAGCACCCTTTCAGAGGGAAAGCTGGCTTCTGGGGCGGACAGTGTGCATAACTCATGGCAAACCGAAATTGAAGTGGGTAGTATATCCCAAGGTGGCGTCCTGTGGGGAGGCCACTGGAGTGTGTGAGTGGTGCTCAGGGGAGCAGCTGGTTGGGGTAAGGGTCCTCTGCAGAGAGGAGACAGTTGAAACCTGGATGTGGTGTAGGGGAACATGTACAGAACGGGGACGAATGCCAGGGAGGCAGGGGTTGGACGTCATAAGGATGAGGCAGACCAAGGTCAGAGAGGTCCAGGAAGGTCTGCTGAGTGGGAAGTGAAGAAAGAACAGGACAGAAACAGGAAAGCCACCTTGTGGTCCTGACCTTGGTCTGGGCTGGGATCTGGGCAGGCTCTCCCTGCCTCTTGTGGGACCTGACGCCCTCAGCAGCTTCCCTGGCATCCGAAATTAAACTGGTGCCCCTGACCTACCAGCCACACTGTGTCCCAGGTATCTGTGGGTCCCTCGTGTGCAGAAGGTCACATAAAATCAGCGCTGGGAAGGAGGCAAAGGTATGTATGACATGGTCTCATCCCCCAAGTAATTTAAAATCCCACTAGGTGCCGAACATTGAAGCAAAGGGACAGTTCAAAGCATTTTGTGCTAAATATGAAGTCTGAGCTTTGAAGTAATGCTCGAAAGAACTTTGGAGGCTTCAGGGCCTATGGCTGGAGAAGTGACTCCTGATAAAGTTTTAAAAGAAAACTAGATGCCTTCTTCCCGCTGCCAAATGTATGTGATGACTAGCAAATCAGTCAAACACATAATGGAAGATTTTATCCATTCAGCAAATCTCATTGAACCACTATTTATTGAGTGTGTCTGTACTCTAGAGAAGTAATATAAATACTCTAAGGAATTCAGATAAGTAATAAGCTGTCTTCCAAAAAATTAGGACATGTCAGGGTGGAAAGTAGAACCCCATGACATAAGTAAGACTTGACCTTGCCACAAAATTAACACATCATTCATATTTTTAAGAGTGCTAGATGCAGAACTTCAATATATTCACTAGAAGAAATTTAAAATATATCTTTTAAGCTATTTCTACAAGACAGTAGTTGCCAGTAATTTAAGAAATCAGTTATCTTTGTGAAGTGATAGGATTTATAATCATGGGCAAATAACATGTTTAATAAATTGATAAATGCTTTTCCTTTAAAAAATTTTTGGTTTTACTAGGGACCACCTTCAAGTCACAGAGTAGCAGTGAAATATGTCTTTGTGGTAACAACAACACTCATTCTTGTTTGTTCTAATCTTGTATTTTGTTTTGCTTTCTTATTGTAGTAATAACCCTTGTGTGGCATATAATTCGAATCAGTTGTTCTTGGTACCTGACCCTCCCGGAAGGGTCACGGATGAGGCAACTGAGGCCCAGGGCGTCTCAGCAGATCTGTCTTTGTGAAGCTGTTGTGCCTGAGTCATTATTCAAATTTCAAGCCAGAGAAGTTGAGTTCTGGCATATAGCTTAAAGCAGGAGCCCAGCAGCTCTGGGTGAGCTGGAATGGCTCTGTGCTGTGGGCCACTGGGCCCAGCCCTGAAGCTTCCTGTGCAGGAAAGGGGCAGAGGCGGGAGCTGTCGGAAGAATCAAAGTTAGAATTCATTTAAATGCTCCATTGGACAAATGAACCAGCACCATTTCTAATGGGAACATAGATGCTGTTCTCTTTTCAAAACTTCTTTCACTGATGTTTTGAGGCAATCCAGGTTTTCACCATTTTTATAAAATTAACTGTAACCATTTCTCAGTGTCTCTACCTGGGGAACAAGTTCTCGACGAGGGAATGCAGGGTCAAAGGTGCTATACATAAGAGCTTACCCTTTGCCTGCCCTCACTCACTCCATGCTCCTGGGTACACCCGTCCCTGACAGGCTCTTCACTCACTCTCATCTTCATGCATTTGAAAGATGAAACCAGCATGTTGCACTATTCTAGTCTTATTTCTTTAATCATTGTAGAGCTGGACACTTTTAACATGGTTGTGAGGTGATTTATTCCTTTGCATATTCTAGCCTTTGAGGGCCGCAGCTCCATGCTTTGTAACTGCTCAGCCCCCAGACTCCGAAGACACCTTTGGCCATTCTCTTTACAGTCCGTGACGCAGGGCAGGGCTCCGATCCTCCAGCCTCCGCCCCGCAGCCATCATCCCCACCCGAGCCACTGTCCCCTCAGGCCTGGCCCGCTGAGTGGTCTCCAGCCAGCCGTCCCGCTTTGGCCCTGCCCTGCTGCCCCAGCAGTCAGAGTGATCCTGCTAAAATGTTAAGTGAAATCACGCCACTCTGCTGTTCAGAACCCTGCGGGTCTCCCATCTCACTCAGGAAAAGCCAAAGTCCCCACCCAGCCAGCCGCGCTGCCTGCTCCCCTTCCACCACTCTGCTCCAGTGGCACCGGCCTCCTGGCTGTTGCTCAGGTGCTCCAGGCACCCGCCTGTTCCAGGGCCTTTGCACCAGCTCTTTCCTTCTCCCTGAACCCCCAGCCCTGGAGAGCTACATGATTTGCTCCTTCAGGCCTTTGCTGAACTGCCATCTTCACAGTGACACCTCCCCACGGTCACCCTCCCCTACAGTCTCCATAACCCTTTCCTGCTTCATCTTTCTCCGGAGGACTTACTCTCTTCTTATGCACTGTGATCATCCTGCTTATCTATTTTGCTCTCATCTTCCTTTCCTATCTAGAATGTGAGCCCTTGAGGTCAGGACATTTTGTCTGTATCCCCAGGAGTTAGAACAATTCCTGTCACTTGGGGACTCAGTAAACACTTGTTAAATGAGTGAATGGACTGACTGTCTCCTTGTGTTAGTGTTTAATTTACTCTGTCAATGAAATAGTAGAAATGAATACTAGAAAATTGTAGCATTTTAAAATCAGTGTTCTAGAGGAGGAATTGGATGGAGAAATTTCTGTCTACAAGGCTTCTGAACTGTAATGGGAAGATTCCAGACTGATGGGCCCACCAATGACAGGCTGGGCTGGGCAGCTGGCAGTGTCTGGGGTCTCTGATGGCCACTCCTCTCCACGGCAGGCCCTGCCGAATGGAGCACCAGCTTCCTCAAAGCCCAGCTCCCCTGCCCTCATCGAGACCAAGGAGCCTAATGGGAGCGCCCACAACACTGGTTCTTCCTCAGAGGAGACTGAGGAACCAGGTGCCCAGGTACGTGCAAGGCTGAGGGCCCAGGTGCCGGTAAGGGGCGGGGAGGCAGAAGTTGCTGTCAGAGGAGTCCTGGGCTGGGAGCAGGGGGCCTGGCCACTGGCCTAGGCGCTGCTCCTTCTCTTGGATAGGTCCCCTCCCACTTGGCCCCACTGTCTCCTTGTCAATTACATGGGGCGGGGGTGGTCAGGTCAGAGGAGGCAGGTGCTCACCTCTGAGGCCTTGTCTGGCTTCCATGTCCCAGCACCCTGTAGGTTTGTGGGTGTACTCCCCTCTCTGGCCAGGCCTGAACGCCACAAGGCCTGGGCACAGGGGGGCTTCCTGAGGAATTAGCATGTTGTCTCCCTAGGGCAGGGTTCATCTTGGGGGAGCATCCAGCATCTGTCCATGACTAGAGTTCCCTGGGCATGCATATTCATTGATAAAGGCCAGTGCTATGAAATGGGGATCTATTTGCTGAGGCTGCCGGAACTGCTGGCAGCATGGCCTCTCACTCTGCAAGGGAAGATGACCTGCCCCTGGTGCCTGAGACCAGGTGCTGGAGAACAAGAAGGCACACAGGGCTGAAAGGAAACTGAAGCTTTCTTGGGCACCACAACATTTAGTAACTTTTCCCTATTGTGACTTTCTTGAAAGTGGAAATACAGACTTGGTGTAACTCACTAACAGAAGGACAGAGTTTTAGCAGCCTGTGATTTTTGCATGTCCTAATAATTAGCCAGTGTCACACTGCTCCAGGATATGCCTCAGGGATAGAGGGTCATGGTATTGGAACAGACCATCCACATCATTTTACAGAGAAGAAAACAGGGCTGGAGGAGCATGGATTATATGGAGTCAAATTGTCAACCATTAGCCACCTGAGCTTACAGGTGTCTTGGTTCTGGCTTCCAGATACAACAGACAGCCCTAACGTGCCCAGTCTCAAATTATTTTTGGGGTGGATAGCTGTATAATCACTGTCTGGGTTAATATTTTTGGAGTTGACGCTTTTCCTATGTGTCTGGGAGTAAAAATGGTTACATGTACCCCAGCCTCCCCAACCCATGACAAGGATGGTCCTTTCTCTCCATGACTTTCCCGATATCCTCCCAAAAACTAGATGTGAGCTTCTTCAAGAGCTCCCTTCAGCCCAGGGTGCACCGGCCTGATTGGTGGTGACACGCCTCCTCCTGGCAGGATGGGCCAGGACTGCATCCGTCCGCTCAGCAGCAGTCTTACACTTGCAGGTCCCCGGCTTGGGAGCCAGGTGGCTGCTGCCCAATGCTGCTGCTGTCAGTGGGTGATCACCGCAGAGCCTGTTAGGGACCACAGGCCGGGAACCTGGGGTCCCAGGGAAGCCAGGAAGGATGTGGCTTCAGGATGGAGCCATGTCCATCCCTGAGAAGTCTTTGCCTGGGGGTGGTTTTCAGAGCCAAGGGGTTAGTCCTTGTGACTGCGGGCCCTTTTGTCCCCCTTGCCCTGCACTGCCCCGTCTTTCCCCAACCCCTCCCCCAATTCACTACACTGCCTTGTAGGCCGACACCCCCGCCTTCCCCAATCCACGCCGGAGGCTGCGCCTGCAGGACCTGGCAGACAGAGTGGTGGACGCCTCTGAGGATGAGCATGAGCTCAACCAGCTGCTCAGCGAAGCCCTGCTCGAGCGGGAGTCTGCCCAGGAGTGAGTGGCCCTGTGCACCTCCTGGCCCACTTCTCGGGCCCCAGCCTGTGGCTCAGGAAGTCAGTCGTCCTCACATGGCCTCCTCCTGACAGGCTGAGGCACAGGGGGCATTTAGGGCTTGTTTCCACTGCAGAGTGAAGAAGAGAAACACCTTCCTCCTATCCATGCGGTTCATGGACCCTGAGATGGAAACTCGTTACTCGGTGGAGAAGGAAAAGCAGAGCGGGGCGGCCTTCAGCTGCTCCTGCGTGGTCCTGCTCTGTACGGCCCTGGTGGAGACACTCATCGACCCCTGGTGAGGGGGGTATAGGAGCTGGTAGGCCAGAGAGGGCGGAAGGCAACGAGCTCCTAGGCGAGAGGCATCGGGGATGTGGGCGCCTCAGCTCGGCCTGATGTTGAGGTACAGGCCTGGTCTCTGTCCCTCGCCCCCACTGGAACAGCCCCAGCCGACCTCAGGCCAAGGGAGTGCTAGGACCATCCCTTTGCTCTGCCCCCTGGTTCCAGAATAGCATTGGCATTAAAATAGGGATCATACCAGGGCTGAGAGAGCCGAGGGACAGAAGGGTCCGGGAGGATGGGGACCTTGGCTCAATGGGCCCGCGTGGTTTGGGGACAGGAGACGGAGGCTTGGACACTTCTCAACCGCGGGCACCAAGGCCAATCAGGTTCCCTTCCTTGGCTCATCTCAGTAAAGACAGTTTCAGGCTGTGGGCGCAGACGGGTCCCTGTAACAGCAGTGGATCTTCCGGGCAAGGGGGGTGTCGTGGAGCCCTTGCCCCCGTTGTTGGCGGGTGACCCCTCACTCCCCCGGGCCCGCCAGCAGCTCACCACTGTCCAGGGCTCCCCAGCAGGAAGGAGCCGGGGCGGAGCCCCGTCCCAGTGGCCATGTGGGGAACCGCAAAGGGCCTTGGACTCAGTCACTGTCCTAGGTTCCGGACTCGGCTTCCTCGCCTGCTTGCTTATGGCCTTGGTGAGTCACAAGGATTCCTGGAGTCTACTCATCTGTAAAGCTGAAGATGAGCTGAGCATCATCTGAAGATGCTCGTACCTGGCCTAGCTAACTCTCGGGGCTGTTGAGGATCAAAATTCATTCAGTCACTTCACATTTTACTGTCTACATCATGCCTGGCACTGAAGTCCAGGGATATACAATGAACACACATACAAAAGCCCCTGCTCTGGTGTAACTTACATCTCTAGGAGGGGAAGACAAAAGTAAACAGTTACACAATCAGACTATGTACCCAGATAGGGATAAAAGTACAGTGAGGGAGATGGGAATGCTGGCGGCATTTAATTTTGTTTCATTTGCGTTTATATAGGATGTCAGAGCAGGCCTCACCGACAGTGATGTTTCAGTAAAGACCTGAAGGAGTGGTAGAGGAGACCAAGAATCAGGCACTGGGCTGGCAGCACAGAGGGTTCTGGGCTCTTGGGAAGAGTGCTTGGAGTGAAACCAGATGGGATGTGGGTGAGAAGGGGCTGGAGGATTTGGAGACAGCAAGTTGCTCAGTTAACAAGACGACATGGACGCGAAAGGACCCTGTCAACTGGGAAGCTCTGTGCAATTGTCACAGGGTGACTAAGCAGGGGAGCTATTCAGTCCCACGCTCTCCACTTTCCTCACAGCCACGTGGCAGTGCTCGTTCCTAAGAATCCCTTCCCATGTTTTTGCTGGGCTCTGGTGCCCAGGACACCTGGGTCTGCCCTGCTCTGGGAGATGCCTGCTACATTCCCAGGCCCTGCTCAGCTGGCACCCCTTGTGGGACCTCTTTACTGTCTATGTGGCGGACAGTGCTGATTTCCTGGTGCAGCCCAGAGGGCCTGCCCTTCTCCTGTCTCCTCTCCGCTCCTGGCCCTCACCCAGCCCTACTACCTCTCTGATAGTCTTCTCCCTGCTACAGGCTGATGACAAACTATGTGACCTTCGTGGTTGGGGAGGCTCTGCTGCTGATCCTGACGATCTGCTCCCTGGCTGCCATCTTCCCCCGGGTAAGTGGTGCTTCCCTGGGGCTCAGAGGCCCCCTGGGAGTGAGCAGCACTCCCTGAGAAAAGGGGTATTGACTGACAGAGTTGTGCATCTTGTCAGATCCTTGCAGACAGTCTTCTGTTAGGTTCAGGCATCTGCCCATTCGTCCATTCATTCCACACACAGCCATTCATTCACACCGGCTGAGTGCCCACTGGGGCCGGCTCTGTGCTGGAGTGTGCATGGGTGAGGAAGCCAAAGTCGGGGTAGAAGAGCAGTGAAGGCCCAGCTGGGAGGCGTGTAGGCCACAATGGTGCAGAATTGTGAAAGCCAAAGGAATTGAGACTTTCTACTGTAAGGACTGGGGTGACACCAAGTTTTTGGTCAGAATGACAAGGGAAAAGCTGTGTTTTAGGAAAACCAACCTGGTAGGTGGCTTGCCAGATAACTTGGAGGATTCAAGCATACTGCCTCAGGAAAGGCAGGAGTAGCCAGGCAAAGCCAGCTGGCCCTGAGAATTGTTCCCCGACCTGACCTTGCTGCTTGGTATTCAGGGAGGGGGCATATCACTGGCTAGGGCTGCCCACAGCCTCCTGCGCTGGGCTGTCTGCTCTGAAAAGGGCCCTGGTATTGGGAAGCTGGGAGTTGCACAAGTTTCTTGAGTAGGACTGGCCTAGAGTGACACGCTGAGCACTGCTGTTTAGGTTCCTGGGAAGTGTGGGAGCATCCAGTCATCAGCAGTCATGATTACAGGAGAGAAGGCTGTCAAAGCCTACTGCCTCTTGAAAATCCATTCCTTCTAGGCCTTTCCCAAGAAGCTTGTGGCCTTCTCAACTTGGATCGACCGGACCCGCTGGGCCAGGAACACCTGGGCCATGTTAGCCATCTTCATTCTGGTGATGGCGAACGTCGTGGACATGGTGAGCTCCTGCTGTCCTGGCTGAAGGGACACCCCCTGCTGTCAGTGGAGGAAGGCTTCCGCATTGGCCAGCATGAGCAATTTGTCAACCAGTTCCTCCACCACCAGGCACAGGTTTGGAGTAGCACTGAGGTTCCTAAAGATCATCCTGGCCAAACAGAGGGGGTCTTCACCCCAGGAAACCTGGGAGACAGATTTGTTTCCCTAGCTCCCGCTCTCCCAGAGTCTGGAAGCCCAACTGTGCACCAGGTCCTGTGCTAGCTGCTTCACAGATGATGACTCATTTAGTCTTTGGTTTAATGAATTAATAATATCAAGAGGGTTGGTATCATTATCTGCAGTTTCTTATAAAGAAACTAAGGCTCAGAGAGGTTAGTTCACTTGTCTTAAGTCACACAGCCAATGAGTGACAGTCAGGACCCGAAGCAGTTGTAAATCCCAACCCTGTTTTCCTCCTGCCAGTCACTGCTTAGGGGCACATTGCTCATCAGAATCCGACAGTGTGCCTAGTGTCAGGTCTCCGTCAGAACCAGGGAGGCAAGCCTATTCCACTGAAGGAGTGCTCCTGTTTGCTCTCCATCCATCTGAACATGACCAGCTCTTCCTGGAGGTGCGTTACTGGCGACAGCAGCTTCACAGAGCACAAATTCTCTGCTCTCTAGTTCAGGGAGAAGCTGCAGTCAGCCAAATGCTCTCCTGGGGAGAAAGGGCAGCAGCTGGAAGCCCAGATCTATTAACATAGAGCCACCCATCGTTTATTGAGCATTGAGGGCTTGGTTCTGTCACCAATGTCCTCATCAGTCCCCACGCTCCCCCAATTGTGGTGGTGCTATATACACTCTTAAAAGTCCTGCTTTTTTCAAATACAGTGTTACATCATTACTTAATTTTCTTTAACCACTGAAGCACAGGAAAAAACTCAGCATGGGGACTTATCTGGTAGCGATGTAAGTGTAAAAGCCCTAAGGCTGACTGATCTAAGTCCAGCTGGAGGAAGTTAGGAGCTCCAGAACCGAACAAGCCCTGAGACGGCATGGTGCCTACAGCACAGGGAAGAAGTGCTTTGGGCCCCTTACTTGTGAGAACACGTGCAGCCTGGTGCCCAGGTCTGGGGAGCATTAAGAGGGTCAAGGACACTGGGGGGGGAATACCTGGAGATCCTGTTGCTAGTGGAGTGGTGACAAACCAGGGAGGTATGAAAACTTTTCACATGCTAGGATTGCATGCTGAGAACCTTCCAAAAGCCAGACAAGCTCCAGTGGGTAGAAGTGAACAGAAAGTTTGGTTAATAGGTGGCACTTGCTAGTGATCACATCTGCCAACAGTGGGCTGGTGACCAGACTCCAGACATGGAAGTGTTTGAGCAGAGCCTGGCTGCCATCAGTGAAGCTGTGAGCTGGGGATTCACTGCAGCCCCACAGCTCCCCTTCAGGCAATAGTGTGATGTGGGCAAGACTATATTGTACTTGAAACCTAAATATTGAACCCCTCCCTCTGGCTTTACCACTTGCCAAACACGCTACTTAAGGCAGATCCAGCCTGAGTTTTCTCTTCAAAGGTGACAATGCTAAACAACTCAGAAATTTCATAAGCATCAAGTATGTTTAAGCTCTTGGTAGGAATTACTAGCTTTTGCTACTATTCCTGGGGAAATTTCCCTTCTTTCTCAGTGTTTCTGAGGGAGCTGTGGGAAGTGGCAGCAAGTGCACATTGCCGTGGCACAGCTGTCTGACCCGTCTGCTGTTCCTTGCACCCCATGTCTCCCCCACCCCGTGGTCCCGGCTCCAGCTTAGCTGCCTCCAGTACTACACAGGCCCCAGCAACGGCACTACAGCGATGCAGGTGGAGGATGGCTGCATGGAGAACCCCAAGTATTACAGCTATGTCGCTGTGCTGTCCCTCATCGCCACCATCATGCTGGTGCAGGTCAGCCACATGGTGAAGCTCACGCTCATGCTGCTTGTGTCGGGTGCTGTGGCCGTCATCAACATCTATGCCTGGTGCCCCATCTTTGATGAATACGACCGCAAACGTTTCCAGGAACATGAGTAAGATGAAGCCAGTTTGGGGATCTGATCCCCTTCCCCCACCCAGCAAGTCCCCATTGCAGCATCACGGGCTCACTCTGAGGGGGCTGTCTATAAAGCTCATCAAAAACTGGTATGGGAATCTGGGCTCACGGCTTCTCAGAGGAGCCACTGGTTGGTTGTGATCCCACAACAGATCCTTTCCATTCTTGATGAGTGGAAGACTTAGGCTACCTGAGTGTTTGTACCCAGATGGGGCCTGACTGTGCTCTTACCTGTTCAACAGCTTTCCTGTAGTCGCTTTAGAGAAGATGCAGGTATTTCTCACCCCTGGGCTCAACGGCACTAACAGGTAAGGGTGGCTGTTTTCCTCTCCTGGTCCACATTCATTTCCCTTGGCCAAAGCCCTATGGCCAGACCCCTCCAAAGGGATGTGATGTGGGATGCTCACGTTAGAGGAGTGATTCTGTAGGAGGGCTGGAGCAGAGGCGGCGTGACTGTGGCAGGGACCTGGCCATCCCAGCTTGTGCTGAGTCAAAGGGCACACAGCCGGGAGAGCAGTGGCGGGCTAGGGGGCGCTGGGAGAGAGGCCGGGCTGAGCCGGAGAGAGAAGCAGTCAAACGGATGACAGCAGCACTTAACTGGCTGCCAGGGCAGACGGCAGTAAAACAAGGAGGGAAGAACACTGCATTCGACTCCAGGACCTGGACTGTCGTCTGGCTGCAGCGCTTCTGTGTGGGGCTGCAGGCAGGCCAGTTTTCCTGAGTCTCAGGTTCACCTCTTAAATAGGACAGTGGGTTAGAAGTTCTCCAAGGTCACTTCTAGCTCTAAGTTTTAGAACTTTATGATTCAGTGACTTGACTAGACCTTCAAGTAAGTTTTTTAAAAAACAGATTATTTAATGGAAGACTCAAATAGGTCCTTCACAAAAGAAGAAATCTATAAATGAAAGGCATTCAAGTCACCAAGGGAATGCAAATTAAGATCACAATGAAAGACCCTCACATACCCGTCTGACAAGAATTAAGGAGACTGATAATATCAAGTACAGAACTCATACCCTCCTGATAAATTAGAACGACCACTTTAGAAAACCACTTGGAGTTAAAAGTTGAAAATAATCACTATGACCTAGTAATTCCATTGCTATATATATACCTTAAAGAAATGCATATACATATCCTAGGATATATGTACAAGAATGTCCATAACAGCCATGTACTGTAACATCCAAAACAAATAGGCACAAATCACATTAAAGGTAAATTATGTAAATTATGGTATATTCATATACTATGCTACTACATGGTAATGAAAATGATAGCTCCACACAATAAGAAGTCTGATTAGCAAAAGGCACAGTAAGCTGCCCTGGTCTTGTGAGTGTGCTGCTGCTGCTCAGCCCCTCTGGGCTCCGTCAGGTGAAGCGGCGATGATTACACATGTGGGGAGCAGCCCTGGCAGGGAGTCCAGGTGCAACCGGGAGGGGCAGAGCTGGTTGGCCTTTCGGAGCCCAATGACCTAAGGAAGCTTTCCTGCCAAGTGCACGTGTCCGGACTTGGTGTGCAGACGGGTGAGAAGCTGGGAAGTTCCTGAGGCTTCGGGTGTCAGGGAAGTGCACGACCTGTTAGAGAATAAACTCCACTCCACGAGGGCAGCACATGCTCTCTTGGTCGACACACCCTCTGCCCCGCAGGCTGCCCCTGATGCCTTCGAAGTACTCAATGACAGTGATGATCTTCATCGTGATGCTGAGCTTGTACTACTTCTCCCGCCACGTGAGTATCTGCACACGCTCCTCTCTGCTTTTGCTCGCTACCCTATCCGGGCCTCCTGAGCAGCAGTCCCAGAACTCCTAGGAATGCTGGTTTCCTTTACCTAGCATGACCCTGATAAGTCACCACCTTCCCCATTTTTTGGCTTCTTCAAGAGGATGGATTTATCCATGCAAGGGACTCCCTGCTCCATGTTAGCTCAAGTGCCACCCAGTGGTTTGCCAGGAAAACACAGTCTTCCCCAGCCACTTCTTGGCCAAAAGGAGCCTGCTGGAAATGGAGACTCCTCCCTGGGCTAGGAGGCCCCACAGACCCAGGTCTTAAACCTGTGCTATTATGAGAGGCTGGGATTCCCCACTGAGCTGTGAGGGCAACCTTTTGTGATTAAGTGGATCTTTCTGTGTCTTATTTCCCTTGTCATTTAGCCATTTTCCTTCCAGTTTTCCACCTGGAACCCCCTCCATTCAAGTTCCCGTTTCTCATCTTTCCTTCGAATGGCCGGTTTAGAGCACACTCCTTGCTTGTGTCTACAGGTGGAAAAACTGGCACGGACACTGTTCTTATGGAAGATTGAGGTCCATGACCAGAAGGAACGTGTCTACGAGATGCGACGCTGGAACGAAGCCTTGGTGGCCAACATGCTGCCAGAGCACGTGGCACGCCACTTCTTGGGGTCCAAGAAGAGAGATGAGGTAAGGGGCAGTCTTGTGCTGTAGCCGGGAGCCCTGAGGGTGTGTGTGGGCCCAGGTAGGGCTGGACCTAACCAGCAACCACAACAGGAATGAGGAATCCCACAGGCTTTAAGTAAAGGGCATGCTACAGGCTGCACTGTTTCTGTGGGCCACACATCTCTGTGAGGCCCCATTTCAGAAGGTGAGGCCTTAACTAGAACCCATGTTTCTGTCAGCGGTCATCTTCTCACAAAGCCAGGTTCCAATGCCTCACTTCCCAACCCCACAGCCCCCTTTTCATAGGGGCTGTACAGGTACTAGAGTGGCTCTTTACTCAGTCATGATGAGCTGCTTTCTCGTAATTCAGAGTTGGGATAACCTGGGAGATGTGTGTGTCCAAAACGCTGAGTGCACCTATCACGAGTGCGGAAGACTGATTAAATAACCTGCTACAGGAATGAATCTGAGTTCTCTGGCTCTGCCTCTCTAGGAGCTGTATAGCCAGTCTTACGATGAGATTGGAGTCATGTTTGCCTCCCTGCCCAACTTTGCTGACTTCTACACAGAAGAGAGCATCAATAATGGTGGCATTGAATGTCTGCGCTTCCTCAATGAGATCATCTCAGATTTTGACTCTGTGAGTGTCCCCCACCCCCATCTGCTACAAAGCCAGCTTATTCCAGATTACATCTCATGACAGGCTACAGAAGTCAAAGTGGTGGAATCACTAGCTGCTATTTTTCCATATAAGTCCTTCCTCATAATGTACGGGCATTGGCAGCCATCTGGCAATGCTGCGTCTGAGGGGGTGAAGTAGGGGCCTGGGAAATCACCTGCAAGTTCACTGGATAAGGACTGCCCCAAAGAAGATCCCAAGGCCCCTCTGAATCCTTCTACCATCAAATTCAGGCTCAGTAAACACTGCATACCAAAGAAAGTGCTTTTACATATGTGCTCAACCACCCTTGGCAATTTCATTCCAATATTAAGATTGTGGAAATGAAGGCTCAGAAAATCAAAAGTTTGCTCAGGACCATGCAGAATAAAGTTTTTTAGGAAAGCATCTCTTGGATGGCTTGCGGGTTACATCTGCCATTCCGTTGGCTTATGTCTCCCTTAACTGTGCTGACAGTTCTGTTTTTAAATTCTGGTCTCAGCTCCTGGACAATCCCAAATTCCGGGTCATCACCAAGATCAAAACCATTGGCAGCACCTATATGGCAGCTTCAGGAGTCACCCCAGATGTCAACACCAACGGCTTTACCAGCTCCAACAAGGTAGCGGCCCCCTCAACAGCCAGAGAGGAGATGGGGCTCTGCCTCCTGAGGCAGCACGGGGCAGCCACACCCAGCACATGCAAGGCGAGGAGTCACAAGGATGGCTGACATTAAGTACTGTCGGGTGAAGGGGTTGCACACACCACTAGCACCACGCAATGCAAATTTAGACTTGGGCTTACTATGTTTAATCAGCAGAGTGAATGGGGCTCCCACAACCCCACTGCTGTTTCACAGCTGAGGCCAGGCCCTCTTAACACGCCATACTTCTTTAAGACTGGAGGAGCAGAAACCATCTATGCAATTATGTTAATAATGAAAACGTCCAGATTGGGAAGCAGTTTTGTTAGAAAAGGAGAATCTTTAGAACTCACTAACAGCCTCTTCTTTTGCTAAGTGAATTCAGTTCTGTTTAGATACCAGAAGGAGAGGAAATGAGCTGTGGGGGACCTAGTCGCAAGGGCTATTCTTAAAACAGTATGTTCCTATCTTATCTTACAATGGTTTTGTGATCTAAGTACTCTTGCCATCCCCGTTTTATGGATGAGGTTAAAGAAATTTAGTTAAGATAGGTTCTCAACCAACTTATAACCTAGTTGAGGAATCAAAATGAGGACAACTACCCCAAATTTAAAGGCTAGGTATCAGTCAAGGTGGCAATGAGATAGGACAGGCAGGAAGCAACTGGATTGGTAGGACTTGTCTTCCCCACCACTTCCCTGAGGGACCCGGGTGAACTCCATCAGTGACAAGTTAGAGCTAAAAAGGTCACTGACTCCTGTGTGGGAAGAAGTGGAGGAGGAGGCCTTTATAACAACCAGAATAGGGATTCACTTCCAGCATGTTGGGAAAAGGGTGAGCAGGTGCTACGGTCACACCCGGACTGGCTCCCAGTGCTACCTCTGCTGGTCTCTTACAGGAGGAAAAGTCAGACAAGGAGCGCTGGCAGCACCTGGCTGATCTGGCGGACTTCGCACTGGCCATGAAGGACACACTTACCAACATCAACAACCAGTCTTTCAACAACTTCATGCTGCGTATAGGTAAGGGCTCTGGGCTTGCCTGCTACTGCATCAGATGCAGGGACGCAACACATCAGCAGGAAGGACCAGCTCACAAGACCCTGGGGCATTTAAGTTGGGGAGTCACCCTCAAAGCCAGAAGGGACCTTTAGTGTCTTCAAAGTTGTCTCTTCTAGATGATCAAACCCATAATCTGACTAATGAAATGATGGTTGGCTCTGCCTGGCCCAAGCTGCTCACGACAGCCTTCCTTTTCAATTGGCTGGGAAGTCAGTTTGTGTACCTTTCCAAGGAGTCTTACCTTCTGAAGGCTTGGCATGCATGCTCACTTCTTCCTGTTAGAGGAGTTGATGTCACCTCATTTCTCCTACTGAAAAGGGGGTCTCACCCTTTCTGGATGAGGTCACAGGAGACATGAAGTACCAGGTCTGTGTGAAGAAACTGGCCATTTGAGTACTGGGTAAATTAGCACCTTGGGAATTGCTGATATTTGCCAAGTACATAGTGAGGGCAGATTAAATGGGAGAAATGATTTCTGCCCTCCAGTAGCTTACAGGATAAGCTTACTGAGGAATGTGATGTGTAAATAACTTTGTGGTTGGGATCAGGTGGCAAGTTCTCTGAGAGCTGGTCAGGACAAAGCTGGACACAGGGCTGTGCTGAATTTTTTTCCTCTACTCTAGGCATGAACAAAGGAGGGGTACTGGCTGGTGTCATTGGAGCCCGGAAACCACACTATGACATCTGGGGCAATACAGTCAATGTAGCCAGCAGGATGGAGTCCACAGGGGTCATGGGCAACATTCAGGTATGTCCAGCAACAGCGCTAAGTGTGTGCTCAAACCTAGGGAATGGGTGCAAATAAGAATAGTGCACACTTTGCCCTGTACTACTACCTCCTTCCTCGTGGCCTGGAATATTAAATTGGCAGTGCTGTGAGCTTAAGGAGCAGGGGCAGAAATGCCTCCGTAGCTGGCCTCAGGAGAAGGGAGAAAATACTTCAGTCCCATTTGTAACATTTAGGTTGAAGTTGTGGGTAAGAATAGCGTGCCTCCAGGAGATCCTTGCTGAAGCCACCTGATCTGTATCAGCTTGGGACTGGCAGGAAAGCTTGACAAAGGGGTAGAGGGGACCAAAGAGCAGGAAGTAGAGGTTCCCAAAACAAGAGTACTACTGTCCTGGGCGAGTGAGCACAAAGCCACCTTTGGGAGAGGGGAGGGCCCCAGGCAACCCACCATGGATCCTGTCACCCTCCAGCCCTTGCCTGCTGGTGAGAAGTGTCCACTCTCTACTGCCAAGCTCTCTGCCTCTACAGGTGGTAGAAGAAACACAAGTCATCCTTCGAGAGTACGGCTTCCGCTTTGTGAAAAGAGGACCCATCTTCGTGAAAGGGAAGGGAGAGCTGCTCACCTTTTTCTTGAAGGGCCGTGAGAAGCCAGCTGCCTTCCCTAATGGCTCCTCTGTGACACTGCCCCACCAGGTGGTAGACAACTCCTAAAGGGCCTCTACCCCACTATAGTCCAAATGTGAAGGGAAGACGTATTTTTTTTGAAATCAACAATAAGTCTTGGGAAAGGACAAATGACTTAAGTCCCAACATTCCCAAACTGTTGAAGTACACACTCACATAGATGTTTTAGGGTTAAAAATCTCAAGCCTTCAGTTGTTCATGGATCTGTGAGCTCTGAGCAGGGGCCATACTTATTCCTCAGAGTAGGGGTCTTAGGCATAGTGCTGGAACAATCCTTCCAGAGCCCTGGTTTCAACCAGCCCTTCTTAGCACAGAGAGACCATGGCCCCTGTAAGCAGGAATGTAACAGAGGTAGAACAAAGCTGCCTTTGCTGCCAGGTTGAGAGTGCAGGTGAGGAACCTCTGCATAAGCTGAGGACTTGGTGGGACACCTGTCCCGGCATTGCTCTGCTCCTCAGGTGTACTTGGAAGTGATGCCTTTGAACTCCAGCCGGAGACCCGCCTCCATATGGTCTGAGCTAGACATGGCCCTCGTCCTGATAATCTTGAAAGGTTCTTCTGGAACCCCTGTCACCTTAGTCATGAGAGCAGAAAGTGCAATATTTCCTTTTACCTGGTGGGAGGGAGGGAAAGGGAATTTATTTCTGAAAGAAGATATATAAACAGATCTACATTTATATTTTTAACTTTCTGTTAAACACTTTCCAATATTGCCTTGCCTTTTGAGCTCTTGCTACAGTCGCCTTTGCTACTGCTTTAAGAGAATTTACTGGTATTGATAAAGAGCAAGACTGTTTTATTAAAAGCTTTATTCAACTTGAGTGTACTCCTTGTGCAAATTCTGTTAATGCCTAAGTGCTTTGCTAACTCATACTACTGGTCCTCACCATGTACGTGGAAGGCAAGAGCCTGAACTAAGACATCTTAAGCTGCTTTCTCCTAATTGGCAGTCCACGCCACCTTTACCACCTTCCCTGTGCTCCTCCCACACCCCACACAAGTATCTTACTTCATGGCCATTAGGCCTAGGAAGTGACCATTTTAGTGTGAGGCTTGAATGCAGCTCTGGGCCGTGGGCAGTGATGACTCTTATTTGTGACTGGAGAAAGACTACAGGATCTGAAATTGCAGTACCTCACCAGACACAATTTTCACAGCTGTGAAACCTGGCGTTACACATACTCCCATAAGCCAAGGGATAAAAAGTACCAGCAAAGCCAAGGCTGTGGTTTATAAGGAGAAATGGTACACTGGCAGACTTGGGGAGGTTCTACTTTGCAACAACTGAGGTATAAGCAGGCATCTGCCAGGTTTCTTTATAATACATCCAGCTCTTTAATATTTTATCCACAGTACATTCTCATACCATGTTCTTTATAAAGCAATGGCCTAGGACACACTGCTCCAAAGCAAAGCTCAAACACACTTCCCACCTTAACTATATGATTTATATCATGAGTCTTTTCAAACACTGAAAATGAGGCAGAAATACTTTTTAGTTGAATGGTACATACTCCCCCTTTCACCAAATGCCTTCGATTTCCCCACAAACCATTCTGATTTCCAGCTATAACGTACAACCAAGTCATGAATGGAGTGGAATGGAATATAACATACAACTATCTTGAATGGAAGGTCTTGACCATTATAACAAGTGACCAGGCAATCAGGAAGACTCATCCCAAAATGCCAAGGTCTGTGGGCTCAAGCTTGCCCCTTATCCTACTCTTACCACAGGAACAGTCCCCAGGCAAGGAGTCAGCCTTTCAACAGTTTTCAGTTCCCAGAACTAGGTTTACTCACTTCTGATGTGGTCCCAATGAAAACAATATTCTAGGAGGCCAGGCTCATACCCAGCTTTTCTCCTTTCCTTGCAAATGAAGTAAATACTTGATGTAAGGGCTTCGTACAAAACAGATTTTCATGGGATGCTCGCTGTTCTTCCCAGGAGGTAGATAATGTGTCCATCCCTAAAAGAGACTCTGTCAATTTCAGTGCAATTGGGGGAATCAAAACTTGGATCACTGATATTCTGGACCCATGTAAATTTTTGTTTGTTTCGTTTGGAGCTGAGAGAGGCTTCCCCTTACTGGACTGATGCAATATTGAGACCAGAAACTTCAGGCTGCCCAGAGAAGTCTAAAATCTATGGTATGAAACCTGTGAGCTTCAAAATTTCTGCCTTCTAAAAACATTTTTCCTATTTTTCATATTGCCCATGTCACATCACTATGTATATTTAATCAAAACAAGATAGCAAAAAAAATCTATCAGCCAGCCCTGAAAAAGGCCCATTTAGAGAATCGTCTCTAGAGAGCTAAGTGTATATTGCCTTGTCATGTCCACTTGGCTTCAGTCAGTGAGGCTTGTGGCTTTCGTTACCACAGGTAACCCTATGACTCACTCTCCTTACTGTCTCTCTTCAAGAGGGGTCTCCCAGAAAACAAATCATGAGCTGAGCTGAAAGAACACTGGCAGAGCTGGAAGGAGCAAAGCAGGAGGGAAAACTGATAATCATGTTTACTACTTACAACAAAGAGAGGAAAAACTGGTAGAAACAAGGAAACTATCTTTGTATTTTACTTAATAAATTTATAATACATAAATAGAATAAAGCATCTCAAGAGGTCCAATTAATATATCTACCTATTGTGCTCTGTTGCATTCAAACTGAATAATCCAGAGCAAATTACATTTCTTCACTGACGCATCCTCCCTCTTACCTTGGTAGGTAACAGTGACATCAGTCGGAAGGGTTGTTGTGAGGTCCTTATACAGCAATCTAGCACAGAATGGGAGGGACTGACCCCTCAGCTCCACATTGTAGGTAAATGACAGCAAGTTGTACAGTGAGTTTCTCTGCAAAGGCCCAGCCAGAAAGGCAGCAAAGTCACTCTAATGGGGGTGGGGCACAAAATAAACACAAAGCATTTGACAATTACATCTCCAACAGCTGTTGAGACCCCAAACATGTCTACCAAAAATAGGGACCATTCATTCAATTTCAGAGAAATAAATGAAGGACATGCCTGAAAAAAATTAGAGATCTGTAGGAGTTGGTGGCATCCCAGAAAGGCCTGCAGCAAGCACTTGCTAAGTAAATGGCCGGGGATTAGGGGTGCAGGAGAGATACTAGCTCTGCCAAGAAATCTGTTAACATAAATATTGGCTGAGATGCTTGGTGTCTGCATTCACGTATCAATTTAACTGACAACCAGGAGCTTTAGAGTCATTCCAAATGCACAGGGGGAAATGTAAAGTTTTTAAGTCACTTACTCTCTTTTTGCATTCATTTCCTATATACATTTTTTTTAACCCCAACCCTAGCTCAATTGCAACCCCAAGAAGGTAGGCCAGTGTTTACGCAAAGATGAACAGTATTTCTCTACATTATTTCAGAAACTATTATTTTGCTTTGCATTTATACCCAAGGTTCACCACATGGTAGGTCCTCTATAAAATCCCTGTTGAATTAAGTATAGTACAGCAACTATCCTACTCTGTGAGGTAAAGAAGAAAGGACCACCACTTGGGAGTGATTAATCCCTTAACCAATATCCAGGCTTCAAGATCATCCAGAGTTTCAACAGGGGAAGAGATGATGGACCAGCTTGCACATAAATAAGAAAGAAGCATTAGAAGAGTAACAGCTAAACTTCTAGGTCAGAGTTATGAAACATTTTAAAATACAAAAGAAAACCCATTCCTTTTGGTCCCTTTTAAGCCTACCCTGGGCTGATAAAATGCTACAGAAGATTGCCAACACACCTGAAGTCGATCTGCCTGGTACTTCCTTCCAGAGTAAGCATTTAGGTACTCGCTCAGACTGAACAGGAAGTGCTGAATATTAGTCTGTAAGTATTTTGCAGCTAACTCCTCCAGGGGAATGAAAACTGGAATTGAATGGTCATGTATCCGAAGTGGTTTCTGCATGACCAGGTCCACAAAATAGGAATCCAGCAGATTCCCCTCAAAAGCAGTGTTGATGAAGATACAGAATCCACGGCTGGTCAGTTTCCCGCTGAGCCCTAAGGCAAACAAGATGATACTCTCAACAGGTGTCAGGCTGTTACAGATACTACCTGACTCACCTGTACACCCCAGATGCCTCAGCACTGCCTAGTACATACAGTGTGTGCCCCAATGTTTGTTGATGAATGAGTATCACAGACTTTCTTCTCACTGACTCTGGCTCACTCTGAGTTGTTAAAGCCATGGAAAAAATTATAGGAAAAACAAACATACTAAATACTCTTATTACTGAGGAAGAAATTTTCTAATTTTCAATGTACATATTCTTTTTTTGGGGGGGTCAATTTATGATAGTCCCCAGTTCTTCCCATAATCCTCTTGTGACATAGAAAATGGGGCAAATAAATTCCCATTTTCATGGTGAAACAGAAACTTGAGGGGTTTAGACTAGTGCATACAGCAAACCAGCAGTAAAGAAGTTCTAGTCACAGGGTCTGGCACATGTTGCATAGTGAAAATGAATGGCCCAAAGCCAGCCACCAACCTATCTGCTGCTGCACAAGAGACCAATCTTGCAATTAAAGATGACTATAAACAGCATGCCAGCTTTGGGTGTGCTTGTTGAGGAGGACAATGTCAATGCTTATTAAATAAGTCTAGGACTGATACGTCTAGCAAACTAACTCACTAAAGAAAAGAGACTAAAGCAGGGCAGAAAAAATTATACCTGTAAAACAGTACGCCTGCAGAATGGCTTTCACATTTTCCCGTTTTCTTTCTAAAGCTTCTTGCTCACTGATCTCCACCGTTTGGTCGGGTTCTACATTGGTGGTAGACACCTTAACCTGCAGAATATGCAGCAAATCAAACTGGATACAAAGGGGTGCAACACAGGCATGAGTCCCTACCCTCACCTAACTGGAAAAAAGCTAAATGCAGAGTTGTTTTTTTTAACGAACCAAGAAATAGTACAGTGGCCAGCCAGCTAGGGCTATAAATTCAGAGTAGAGAAAGAATCTTGTGGGTTACAGTGCTAGCAATGAGAAGCAGCAACTGTGCTGGTCTGAAGAGTAATCCAGAATCTGGTGGAATGGAGAGTACTATGAAGGGAAAGAAAAGGGTATAAGGGCAGTCTAGGGGAAGTATGAGGGGGGCAAAACAGCTGTGCTGAGGCAATGATGGGGAAGTTGGTTTGGGTCAGACTGTGCAGGCTCTCAAGTACCAGGATGGGAAATACTGATCTGACTGTTAAGAGGTACACTGTGAGCTATGGCCCAATACATGGTGTCAGACTGGCGCTCCCCCTGAGAACAACCCTACAATGAATAGCAAAAATAAACACACATGTGCAAGCAAACAGAAAATGGTCTGAAGGCATTTAAAGAACAACCAAAATAGGCAGGGTGAACATTGAAGACAAAAGCTCTGAAGTTATAATTTTGATCACTTAAAGGGTGTCAGATGATCGGCTATGGAGGTACTCTTTTCTGATAATATGCCTTTCTCTTAATAAAAATTAAAAAAAAAAAAAAAAGCAGTTCCTGTGTGCTGACCTCCAATGAGTTCTACACAGTGGTATACAGGGCATGTCAAAGTGTGGGCAAAGGGTCTGCTTGTTTTTATGCAGAAGATCAAAGACTAGCTTGGCTGCCCAGAAAATGAACTAAGATACAATATGAGGAGGAGCTTCCGGCATCAGCACTCTCTGGAGGACTCATGCCGGGGGATGATCATCAAAAAGCCTCCACAGGGATCCGGGCGATGCTGCGGTTGTGGCTGCGTCCATCCCACGGTTTCCTGGACTTGCCATTGGGATGAGGAGGGAGATGTCTAGGCTGGCATGTGCATACAGTGAGACAACGAATTTGACTGGATCTGTACTGTTGGAACTCAACCAGGAGTTGGGAGGGGTGCAAGTTGTAGCACCCCAAAATCTCATGACTATAGACTATCTATGGTTAAAAGAACATATGGGATGTGAACAGATCCCAGAAATGGGCTGCTTTAATTTGTCTGATGGTTCAAGTACAGTTGGAAAATATCCATCATATCATAGACAAATTTTCACAAATGCCTAGGGTGCCTAAATGGTTTTCTTGGCTTCACTGGAGATGGCTGGTAATTATAGATTTGCTTTGTTTATGTCACCGTATTCCTATTATGTTAATATGTGTGTGCAAATTAGTTAGTAGTTTAAAACCTATACATACTTAAGGTACTATACAAGAAGATATGTCAAAGAAATAATCAATCCTCCCAAGTTTCCTTCATATGCTACATCTATAGCTTTTCTTCTTCCTTCCTAATTACAAACCTTAAATAGAATTCGTGCCTCATATCGAATTTACCGAGTATCATAATTCCTCCAGGTGGTAAAGATACCTCGAGACAAGTGCTGGGCATAGAAGCCACAGGGCATAAATCTGCAAAGAAGTAAAAAGCTAACCTTTGCAAACAATATGGCTTCTCTCTCACTTACCAACTTTACATTTCCCTGTATGGCCCCGGAAGATGACTGGTTAGCCAGAGACGGGTAAGATTCCTCAAGGGAGGAACAACCTAAGACAGGCACAGTCGCAGGGGGGCCATCAGGTGAGAATTTGGGGATCAACAGAGGTGAGGCTCAGAACCTCACCCCCCCTGCTTTGAGAGAAATCTTCTGCATCCGTGGATGTCTTGCTGCCCTTGTCTAGCCTGGATTAATACTTAGTCCATAGGCACACACCTGATCATCTGATCATCTACATTTGCCTTCTTACAGCACTAAACTATGTTTTCTACCTTTATCTTGCATCTACCTACCACTTCAGCATTTTATTAAAAATAAAAATAATAATAATAATAAAGGGAGACATGTGGGATGCACATATAAATCAAGTATAAAAATCAAATATTCATATTTGACCTGATTGTTTATAGTCCATAATGTGTGATCAAAACCAAAAGTTTCTGTGATGAATGCCCTTGTACTGTTCACCATGTGAGAACTTATTCACTATGTAAGAATTCGTTCACCATTGTAAGAACTTGTTCGTTATGCTTCAGAAGATTGGAGACTGACGAGAATTAGGCTTGAGATGGATTAATGACTGTGCATTGAGCATTGACCCCCCCCATACAGAATTTTATTGTTAACAGCCATTTGATCAAAAAATATGAGAGATGCCCTCTCAAAAAAAAAGCTCTGAAGTTAGCTGAGCATTTCCTACAGCTTTTCCCCTCAGAGCATTTGCTGATTTGTATCACAAGGCATATGGGCCAAATAGAAAGCTGCAGGTGGGCTTTGTAGCAGTCTCACCGTTCCAGGGACACAAAAGTTAGAGACTGAGTTTACCAGGATATCATAGAAAAGGGAACCCAACATGCTGCATGCAATCTGCCCTGCAGGCATTTGCCAATTCCTAACAGTATCTGTGTGACTGAGTACTGAGGAACCACATGGAAAGCTCCTTGCTGAACATTAGAAAACTAAGCAGAGATTTTGGAGTTCAGGACCTGCCAAAGAAGAGGGACCTGGATAGACCTCTCTCCAACACACCCAAACTTTCAAATGAGGGCCCTAAAAAAAAGGTACACCTAGGAGTACGGGCAAACCAGAAAGAGACTCAACTAGATTAAGGTGATATGCCCATAGGCTATCTGCTTGACAGAAAAAAACTAATTTTCTTTGGAGGAAGAAAACAGTTCAGAATTCCTACATTTTTTCATATACAATACCTGTCACTGAATTTTTTAAAAAATTAGGTAAATCAGGGAAGAGCAACAGATCCTGAAAACCAAGAAGAAAAAAGACGACATTCCCTTGGACTCAGCTGTTTGGGTCCATCAGGCACAGCCATTAAAATAGATTAAAAGATGGACAACTCATACCAAAGAGCTGGAAGGTATAAAAAAAAAAAAATCAGATGAAAATCCTGGAACCAAAAAATACAGTAGCCAAAATCAAGAATTTAACAGATTTATAGGCTGACCAGGCAGAAAAGATAAGTGAAATAAATAGGTATAATTTTCATATCCATATAGAAGATACTTTCATCATATTTGAACAGAAAAATAAAATTAGAAAATTAGTAAAAATATAAGACACAGATCATAGTTAAAACAAACAGAACTCCATACATGGGAGCCCCAGAAAGAGAAGAATGGGGCAGATGTGGTATTTGAACAGATACTGGCCAAATATTCCAAAATAAATGAACACATCAAGTAATTTACGGAGCTCTACAAACACCAAGCGAAATAAAGAAAGCAAATCACTCCTAGCCACATGATGATATAAAATTGCTAAAATCCAAAGCAGCTAGAGGAAAAAAAGACATCATATATTCAAACAATATGACTAACACCTGGCAGAAACTAGAACTAGAAAACAATGAAACAATAAAGGATGAAACAAAGTAACTTCCAATCTATCTCTAGACCTAAGAAAAACATCCTTTGAAAGTGAAGAATATAATGAAATAAGGTTTTTTTTCAGACAAAAAACAACAGAGTATTCCCAGCTGACTTAACACTGAAAGGAATACCAAAAGGAGCTACTTACACTGAAGGAAAATGGTCCCAAATGGAAATATGGGAATGCAGGAAGTATTAAAGAGCACCAGAATGGGTAAACATGTTTGAATCTAAAGGAAAAGTAACCTGCTGCACAGCAAAGGAAACTATCAACAAAACAAAAAAGGCAACCTATTGAATGGGCCAATATATCTGTAAATCATGTATCTGATAATGAGTTAATATCTGAAATAAATAAAGAACTCATATAACTCAACACCAAAAACACAAATAATCTTATTAAAAGTGGCAAAGGACCTGATAGACAGTTTCCAAAGATGACATACAGATGGCCAACAGACACATGAGAAGCAGCTCAACATCATTTACTATAAAGGAACTCAAATCAAAACCACAGTGAGGTATCATACCAGTCAGAGTGGACAGTATGAAAAAGTCAAGAAATAAGTGTTGGCGAGGATGTGGAGAAAAGGCAACCCTCCTACACTGTTGGTGAGAATGTAAAATGGTGCATCCACTATGGAAAGAAGTATGTAGGTTTCTTAAAAAACTAAACAAACTAAACAACTTATATGTCCCAGCAGTTCCACTTCTGGATATTTACTCATGGAAACCAAAACCACTAATTTGAAGATATACGCATTCCTCTATGTTTACTGCAGCATTATATTAATAGCCAAGCTATGGAACCAAGTGTCCACTGATAGATGAGCAGATAACAATGTGGGAAGATGGTGGCATAGAAATAGAGCCTGAGCCCACCTCCTCCCATCTACTCACCAAATCTACACCTACCCACACAGCAATTCATCCCAAGGAAGGATGGAGGCCTGAGTGAACACGAACACCTTCTGCAGGAGAGAGAAAAATACCACACGGAAAACCAGCAGGAGAAACAGACACACAGTCACAGAGGGAATCCACCCCCAGTGTGGCCCTGCAGCAGTAAAGGATATCACTGGCCCTGAAACAGAAAAAAAGCCACGAAGTTAGAAGGTTTAAACCCAAATGCCAAATGGCAGGGGAACTGCTGAAACTCTCTCCAGGACTGGAGGAGCTGGTGCGCACCACTGTTTACGTTCCCTCCACTCCACACCCCACTCCTAAAGCAGATGGGAGCAGGGCAGGTGATATGGAGTATGTTAACCCCCAACGTGATTAATGTGGAGGGGAATAGGGTGAGCTACATCGTTTATGCTACAAGTGTGGAAGCGAGCAGGATGACCACTGCTTATGTTCCCCATGCATGCTGGCAGTAGGACAAGAAGGTCAGACTGAACACACCAGCTCCAGACTTAACAGAAGCGATCTCCCCACCCCCACCACACCA